CCCCTCCACATTCCCAGAATTCTTGCAAGTGACTTCTTTAGCTTTGTCTTAGTTCCTGAAATTACACACATCATGACAAGCTTTATTTAACTATAGGTTTGATATTAACACACATTTTTTTAGAGACGTAACATATTTACAAACATCCTGTGTGTGGGCAGAGCAAGCGACTCTCCATATGTATTCAAATATACTGGAAGTCTGGAGTTTTTAAGCTGGGGCTCTATTTTCACTCTTGCCACAGCAAGAGATTAGCAGCTTGAAATCACTTTGACAGTTTCAGTTACTCTATTGCATACCGCAGGGAATTTTAATTCCAACCTGTGAAATTGTAATTGCTTCTCAAGAAGACCAGAAGGATTCTGGGTAATGGGCACAGCCAAGCTCAATGTCAGAGTTGCCAGTTGCTGCCACTTCAGATATTACTTGCTGTTATTCAAAAATCACCCCAGCTTTCCATATGGGAAGTTGAACTGGGGAGTGAAACTAAATTAACAGAAGCTGTCAGATGTTCAGAAATGTGCAGGCAGCGATGTGACAGAGGTGGATGAACTCTCCTCAAAAGGTACTGTCTCGTTCTCTCTCTTTTTTAAAAGCAAGTCTTACAGAAAAAGAACATTTCTGTTTTATGCTCCTTGCTAAACGAGGATGCCATTAGTAAAAGGCTACAACAAAAGGATTAAATGCCAGTTCATCCTAAACATCTAAAAATACATAAACTCAATTTATAAAATGACATTTCACACCTTGTTGGTGCTCAGAAAAGACAGAAGATGCTCATGCCATTCAAGTTTTGTGGCGTGAGAGTTTCCTCACTGAAAACTGCATGAAGTGAACTTAAGGCTATCTTATCTTATCAAACACAATTGCAGCTTTCCTGGCATCCAAAGGAAATCTGTTTCTTCTCAGCATTCATTAAGGAAAAGGCACTGAATGTACATTGTTCATTACCTGGGGCATCCTCATGTGGTAAGAGTGTGCAAGCTGGTCAGTGTATATCACTTGCAATGGCCTTGTGAATTCATTGATAGATTTCTCAACCATTGCAATAGTTCAGAGAAAGCTAATTTTTTGTAAAGTTAGGTTTCTTACAGTAATGGAGATACACACTCTGGATGGTGCTCAAAAGCAGCTGGGAAGCCAAGTGGGTGCAAGAACAAACTTCAAAAGTGGCACCGACCTGTGCCAAGGAGTATATTAAGGCATTTCATGCTACATTAGCTGAAATTTCCCAGTGTGGTTTCCAGCAGCGCACAGTTTGGGGATCAGTTTGGGTTTTGCTTGAAAGTTCAAGTGAGCTCTGTGATAAGAATTACTCCTTTTATCTCAGAGCTACATTGAAATGTTTCCAGCCACAATTTAGACAAATAGAGAATGTCCTACAGTATACTGGGTCAGAAAATTTTTCACGGTTAAAAAAGATGATGAAATACTGATAACTTTAGGACCTTAACATACTTTTGGAAGGCAAGTTTTGAGAACACACATTAAAGGCAGACGATTTATCTTACCTCCAGCAAGTCTTCAGCTGAGATACTTTTTTTTTTTCCCCAAACGATTTGGAGATAGTGAAAAGCTTTTGGTACGTTTTTAACAGAAGAAATCTACACTTCTCACAAAATCATTGTCTCTAGGAGCTGGAGATTAAAGGAAACCAGCAAAGGTAACAGGACTCTCAAATAGTGTAATCCTATGACCTACAATCCTATAACCCCAGCTGACTTCCTGCCCTTTGGGCGGGGGGCTGGACTTGATCTTCCGAGGTCCCTTCCAGCCCTAATGTCTATGAAACCTCTGAAATCTATGAATCTATAAATCCAATTGCCCCAAAGTCAATGAGGCTAGGATACCAGACTGCATTTAGCTATAAGGATTATTAAGCCTCTAAAAACAGTGAGTGCAATGAATTTATGATTTTGGAAATGTGAATGTAGAAAACCTTTATACTTGCAAGGTACGACAGTGAGGAGCTAGAGAGAAAATAATAATGGGGTCATTAAGAATGGGCAAAGATACAGACCTCATTTGTATATTTTATTCCTACAAAATTCCTATTTTGCTCAGATTTACTGACTGTTGTCAACTCTTACACTAGCTGAGAGTCCTGTTACCTTTGCTCATTTCCTTTAATCTCCAGCTCCTAGAGACAAAGATTTTGTGAGAAGTTCAGATTTCTTCTGTTAAAAACATAAGTTTTTTACCTATCATGCTTGCAAAGAAAGCAAATTAAAGGTAAATTAAAAGTCCATCATTAAGAAAAGAAGTTGCATGATTTTTTTGAGCCTTGACTCATTGTTTTTGAATGGTTGGAATTAGCAACACTTGATTTTTTTTTTGTCATCCATACAAACTTATATTTGCTGAAGCCTTTTTTTCGGCCATTCTTTTATATTCCATTCACTATGTTTTCTAACTGAAAAACTGACGGAGATCTTCTAGTTTAATGTCCATAAGTATTATGAATACCACGTTTATGTATGCTCCTTTAAAAGGTATAGAACAGTCTACTATAATGTCTATATTTATTTGTACCATAGAAATGTAGTAAAATATAGCATAGTTATTACATTATTAGACAGCTCACCCCAATCTGTGCTAGGCACTGCATAAACACATTGTAAGAGGCAGCTCTGCACCTTTTGAGATTAGAAAGATCAAGGGGACAGATGTTTGGATGAGTGAGTTGAACAGGGCTACAAAGCAGCTTACAGCAGAGCTGAAAATGAAACTTAGCTTTCTGGTCCAGTACCCTACCCACTATACCGTATCTCCATAAAAATACAGGGTTTGAGGAGCAATTAGCAATTTGTGTTGAGTGTGAAATGTAACATATTTTCTCACACAGAACGCAAGCCAGAATACAATAAATACCTTGTTTTTGAAAGCCAGAATGAAGAAAAAAGATCTTTCCTTGTAGTAAGTAACTGAGTAACAGCAGCTAGGGAGCCAAGACTTCACCATTCTGCTCCTTGTGGATTGCAGAGACTTTCATTTTGCCTGGCTGAAGCTTAAATGACAGAAATTGCTGTTACCATTTCCTCACATAAACACACTCCATTTTCAAACAGCTGGTTTCTGGAAAAAGGGTGCTTGGTATGCGTGAAAATATGGTATTTTCCCCACTAATCTATTAGGTTTCATGAGTCCTTACTAATGTGATGCAAGGTCCATTGAAGACTATGAAAAAGCTCATAATAACTTCTCCAGATATTAGAGCAGGTTTAGATTATTTAAAAAAAAATCTTTTGGCAGAAGCTCTTGAATTTCTCACTCAGTAATAAACAAAACTATTCAAATTATTTCTGCATAAACATTCATACTTGTCATAGTTACACAGCCTACTAGCTTTGGGTCTAATGTTGAAAGCTAGAGGCTTACATCCTTGTGTTCCTTTGTGGTGAGCCAAAACTTCCTTCACATGTGGCAGCGAGCACAGTGATTACAAATGACAAACTGTAATGGCCCCCCCAGGCCTCATATTGAACACTTGATTTGAATACAAAAAGACATGTAACAAACTGCATTATGAAAGATATTTAAAGAGGTATCAGATGCTCTTTATACAAAACAATTACTGACTCTGCCACATGAAGAAAAGTTTCTTTAACATCTTAATTGATTTCTTACACACTTTTTTATTTCAGCAGATACAAAAAATATAATAGATGCAAATGGCTCTCTCTTTTTAAAATGAAATACAATCTAGAAGAGGAAAAGGCGGAGATGAGAAACCACTACCTTGTTTTTGCTACAACCACCAAAAAACTCAAATAATGGCAGGATGAACCTGACTCCAGCTGCAGATGAAAGGAAGGGCAAAGGGAAAGTAGAAATTATTGCCCAATTTATAAAAGTTTAAGACACATTTTTACATACATTTCTTTTGAAGATTTTAATCAGCAATATAGTTTTCCTTATAAAAGCATCATTCAGTTCAGTGTCTACTTATACACCTCCATAGTAAAACGTAACAAGGACTGCCAGTAAAGCCAGGCTCATAGACAGTATCTTTAGTCCACGTCCTCTTTGTTGCCATGGAATTTGCATCACCATCCTGCAGCACAATGATGTTTTTTCTTGAGTCCCAACAGAAGGGCATGTTTTCAAATTTGTGCCATTCTTCAGTGCATGTCTAAGCTCCTGTGGAAAAATGCAGGAATCAAATCAGGACTGTGTGTGAAGTATACTTGATGCTGTATATCAAGTACAAAACAACAGAAACAGCAACAAATTCCCTTCTAAGGCAAACAATAATTCAACCCGTCTGCATCATGAATTCTTCCTCCTTAGTTCATTTGTTTCTCATGCAGGGAAAGAATTCTCACTGATGCCATGTTAAGTCAGGCTTTTCTATGGAATTAATTGTCAAATCAATAAAGCTGTTAGCAGCAAAGACAGATTCCTAGGCAACAACATAGTCCAAATGATGTTTTTTCTTAGGTCTTTTTAATTTTTTTTATCCCATCTTACCACTCTCCCATTCTTCGGTGCCTTCAAATAGGAGCATCTAGCTAGGAAAAAAAAAAGGGACCAGAAATGCTACAATCTTTGGCACAGCAGGACCCATCCAATGTCAATCACTGCTTCTGTCCACGGCCTGCCACTGCAACTGTGCTTGAAAATCCTTCCACAGGGCTTTTCCCCTGACTCTCAGGAGGCAACTGTGCTGAAACACTCACCTTCTTGTTCAGCATACTGAGTCTTTGATTTCCCTGCTGAGGCTGCCATTACTGTTCTTTACCTGATTAAAAATACCAAGAGCAGCAGAACCTATGTTTGCAGTGTTGTTATGCATGTTGAGTCATTGTTTAAGCTTAAAATCCAAATGGTACTCATTTGCCTATGAAAACTGTTGTTCACTGCAACATGTACCCTCTTCAATAGAGTTTAAATGTAGTTCAATATTTGCAATAAGTGCCTTTAGAAATATACCTGGAAGGTGGGAATAACGACGCAGAAAAGTGTAAACAATATATATGTGTATGTGCATGCATGCGTGTGCATGTGTGTGCATTATAGCCAGCTTCCTTTACCCATTCCAGAACTGGCAGACACGGAATTAAATGTGTGATAGGATCTGATGTGTGATCCCAACAACTGTGCTTCCTGCCATGCCACAACTGCATGGCAGGAGGTGCAATTGTGGGATCCAGCTGCAGTTCCCAATAGCTAAATTCAGGGGAGGCCGAAATCATGATTCTAGGCTCCCCCTGCACCGGTAGGTTGGGTGGCTGACAATCAGCCGATTGTTGGCTGGCTCCAGCAATCCACAGGGCCGTTTGAGCCCACACGTGGTCACCACAGCTGACCAATGACTGGCTGCTCACTGGCAGATC